AGTTCATGATGGGTGTTGGATGCCTATTGTCCAAGTTCTTTGTGGGTGTTGTATCCCTGTTGCCCAAGTTCATGGTGGGTGTTGGATAACACCTGCTGGCGCGGTACATGGTGGGTGTTGTGTACCTGCAGGCTGAATGTGTTGTGAGAAAAGTTTTGTCTTCTGTGACAGTGAGGATGCCCCGTGTAAAGGCAGCACAAGGTGGAAAAGCAGGCCCCAAGAAGAGACGCCTTGCTGAGCAGTTCCCGGCCGGGGAGGTGATGATCGACATGTCCAAAAAAGAGTGGAAGCTGGGACTGCCCGTTGGCCAGGGCGGCTTTGGGTGCATATATCTCGGTGAGTGTGTGCCTGTTTCTCATTGTGAATGCACAGGTTGGTCTGCTGCCTTCTGATGACAGCCATTTTTCAGGGCTTTCCTGACACTATATGAGTAAGCAGAGGTGCATTTCTGATGTCCACTCCCACCGCCTCCGAGCTGGTTCCTGTAGGACTGCTCCATCAGGTTTCTGAGACTAGAAATCCGCACCTTTCTCCCGCAGAGCCACTGGTGGGTTCGAACCCTTGAGTTCAGTTAGTACGACACTTAACCTACTGCACCACCAGTACAGGAGTGAAAAAGATGGTTAATTTCACGACAGAAGGAGCTCTGGTTCTGGGTCCTGCTTACTGGTGTGCACTCTGGCTTCAGCACACTGACCCTTCCTAGTCATCACCCCCTCTGCCCTCTCCTCAGTGAGAGTCCCATTGGACCTGCTACAAATGTGGATTTTTCCACCCCTTAAATGACCTCAATCCTCATCCTAATAGAATAAGACAGCTACCCAGAAACTGAGTAAAGGCTTCAATGGGCGACTCTTTTCCATACTTACTGAAATTTCCAGGGATCCATTGTGGAAGCCCGAGATTCTGTTACTGGTTTCACAAGTACTTTACCTGATGTTTCTCTAAAGCTGTTTGCACCTGCAAGAATATAAGCCATGATCTGTATAATTCAGACTTCTGACTTTTCCATGCTGTCCTCAACCCACTTCTGACATTTGTTGCCTATTATAGAAAGTTACTTTGAGTAGTGGAAGCCTTTGTTTTCAAGTAGTATCTGACTCAGTATTAAAGCAGCACAGGGCCTCATCGCTTGAGAACCGGCTAGAACAGAATCAGATGTGTTCTCGCAAGTCCTCCAGGAGCCTGTGATGCTGGCATCCGAGAACCACTGACTATAGTCACAGAGGAGACGCAGGGCCAGGGGCTACAATTGGTCAGCCGCACTCTCTGGAGGTGGCTTTGCGAGGCCAATCTAAGGGCCGCTGCTTTAGTTCCTCTCTTTCATAAGTGCAAGTCCTGCGGGTCACTGCCACCTGCTCTCGAGAGCTAGGTGTTGGTTCTGTGAACTTGTTCCTTGTCTTTGAGATGATCCCTACTCCCGGCCATCCCACGTGCACAGAGTAGTGCTCCATCGGAAGCAGAACAGCAGGCCTGTCTTTTGAGGTGCCTCTGGGTGGGTTCAAACCACCAACCTTTCAGCTAGTGGTAGACTGCTTGATTGTTTGTGCCGCTCAGCAAAGCCAAAACCATTCTATGGAACTAGGCTCTATTTGACCCAAGAGGAAGATCAGGGTAAAACATGAAACCAGCAGTGCCTGCCAGGCAGCTGTATGTGGTGTGACATTGTGATTTAGAGGCGATGACAGAGGAGATGAGCTGGCCCTACTGTGGGATGGCTGGACAGGAAACTCCACATTGCCCCTTTCCTCGTTGGCATGGTACACTATTCGTTTGGAGTAGATTTCCATTTTCATACTTTACACGTGAAACACTCTTTTAAAATCCTGGCCCTGTTTCTGTACTGGAGGATTACCAATCTCAGGCCGTTCAGACCTCTACCCACTCACTCGCTGTCCCGTCCTGAGGTGGAAGGATTGTGGGGCTGCTTCCCTGCTGAGTGGTGGGTCTGGGGTTCGTCTGTCTCTCCAGTGCTGGAGGACTTGGCCAGACCGTCTGCCCTTCTGTAGAAGGCCACGTCCTGATTTTCAGCTAACAGTGCTTCTCTGGTGTTGTTTCCATCTCCTGCCTGGGTAACATTTGACAGTGCCCACAGCTCCAGCCCCTCGCTGTGGTGACACCTGAGCTCCTCTGTTACCTCTGACCCAGGCCACCACACGCCTGTTGGAGCTCCTTCTCTCGAGGAGTCCTTAAAAACCAGGGGCCAGCCTTATCACTTCTTGCTCAGAGCCCCCAGTGGCTCATTCTTGTCAAAGCTACAGCCTTCCAGTTCTCTGGGCCTCTTCTTTCCTCTCACTTCCTGCCCCAGTCAGGGCATGTGCTGCTCTGCCCACAGGACAGCCTCGCTTCCAGTCTTCCCACTGGGGCACACCACTGCCCCCTCTCTTCCTGCTTCACTTTCCCTTCCCAGCTCCATCTTGGGGAGCATGCCTAAGTGCGCTGTGCCCCCTCCATGGCCTGTGGGCTTCAGGAGAAGAGGGATGCTATGAGATTCCTTACTGTCAGCCTTCTGTTCCTCCCTTCATCTCCCATGAACAGGAACGAGAGGGGTAGTCACGGTCAGATTGTGAATGGCAAGCTGAAGCCAGAACACTCAGCTTTGGGCCCCAAACTAGGGCTTTTGCTGGTGCAGTGGGTTAAGTGCTAGGCTACTAAGGGAGGCAGCTTGTGCCTACCAACTACTGTAAAGAAGCTGGCTGGCTGTCCCCTTAAAGATTTACAGTCTTAGCAACCCAGGGAGCAGTTCTACTCTGACCTATAAGGTCACCATGAGTCGGAATTGACTGGATGCCCGTGGGCATTTGGTCTGTGATTGCCTTCTGGAACTTTAGCTGGAGTTTCTTAACTTCGCAAATGTTCCTCCTTTAAATGATCCCACAGCATTGAGAAATTGTTCATAGTATTAAGGAACTGTCTAAGTTAGGTTCCCCTTGGGAATTCATGATACACACACTAGCAGAGCAAAGGCTCTTAGTATTTTTAATTACAGAAATCTTTAACTCTGTTTAATGTAATTGATGATTGAATTGAAGATACATATCATTATAAGATGCATTCTAATTTCAGGCATGTTAAACATGAAAAAAAATCTTAAAATTGATGAAATTTACTATGATGATTTGTATTTGGGATTAAAGAATTTAATCTTTCTAGGGGTAACAGATACATACACAGACCTTAATATTAATATAAGCTTCATAATACATAATTGGTAATAATGCTTGTTCTGTTATTAAATATTTCACTTGTTTTAACAGCTGATATGAATTCTTCAAAATCAGTCGGCAGTGATGCACCCTGTGTTGTAAAAGTGGTAAGAAAATATTGAAAACTTTTGCTTTTTCTGTTGATTTAGTGCAGTGGGTTTTTTGGATAAGTCAGCCTTACCTTTAATAAGGAGCCTGGTGGCATAGTGGGTACAAGCTAACTGCTAGCTGAGCTGTCAGTGGCTCAGGTCTGCCTGCTTCCTGGGAGAAGATGCAGGAGTCTGCTGCCATGAATATGTGCAGCCTTGGATGCCCTGTGAGGCAGCTTCACTTTATCCTGTGATGGACTCAAGCATGCCAACAGGATCGGGCAGTGTTTTGTTCTGCTGTGCATAATGTTGCTGTGAGTCGGTACCAACTTGATGATGGCACCTAACAACAACAACAATAGGGACTCTTAGGAGTTGGAGCCCACAGGATGGTAGTGGGTTTAGGGGGTTTTTCGTTGTAGGGTCTTTCTGAGTTGAAATTCACAAGATGACAATTGGTTTGGCCTTACCAGTTGTCTCCAAGATAATTTTGATTCATGATGACCCCATGTAGGTCAGGAGAGAGCTGTGCACCTGAGGATTTTCAGTGGCTGATTTTTTTGGGTACTAGTTCACCGGGCCTTTCTTCTGAGATTCCTCTGGGTGGACTTGTATTGCCAATTTTTTGTGATAATAACTGAGTATGTTCGTTGTAACTGTTTGTACCCCCTGGGGTTCCTTGGGCAAGCAGAATTAATTAACTCTTATGGCATTACATTTTTAATAGCACTGCTTTCTTGATCAGTATCTAATAAGACAAGAAATAGTTTGTAGTTTTATGTAACTTGTGTTCAAAAAGTCCCTGTCCTGTTTTCTGAGGTAGAGTGGCTTTGGATTTGGGGGTTAATGAATCAGGACATCCCAAAGCCTATTGCTCTCCCGTCAGGCTTCCTCATAGTACCCTGCAGGACAGACTAGAATTACTCCTTAGGGTTTCCAAGGCCATGATCCTGATGGAAACGGATGGTGTCATCTGTTTGCCTCGGAGGGACAACTTTTCAGTTAACAGCTGGGTACTTAACCACTGTGCCACCAGGGTTCCTTTGAATTGAAGCATGTTGTTGTGTGCCCTTGAGTCAGTTCTGACATGTAATGACTCTTACAAGATTTCCAAGAGCTGTTGGTGAGTTTGAACCGCCAACCTGTGGTTAGCAACCAGTACTAATCCTACAGCGCCATAATACCCAACTCATTGTTTTTATTTCAGCTATTTACAGTAGATAAAACACACTTTTCAGTATAATTGATCATATTTTTTCTTGCATTGGCCTCTGAACTTCTGTATACTTTCTGTTTTTATTGCTCGTTTTGTTCTCATTACCATCCATCTTAGCAGTTTAAATGACGTTACTGTGACCTCCTGGCACCTTCATTGCTGTTGCTTTGGCTCCCACTCATAGCAACCCTGTAAAGGGTTTCCTGGGAGCAGCTGGTGTGCTTGAACCTCCAACCTTGCAGTTTGCTGTCCAGTGCTGATCCTACAGTGCCACACCAGGCGTCCTTTCTGTAATGTACTAATGTTGAAATTAATCTGTAGTGAGCAAAGGTTAGCAACATCGCATCTGACCTAGGTAACATGGGTTAACCTATATACTGAGGAACTAAAGGGCACTTAACAGCAACAACAAAGGTCATTTTCCTTCCTACGTTTCTGTTGTAAAGTTACGTCTTTTTGCATACCAACATTTGTAATAAAATGTGTAGATTTCTCTTCCCTACCCCAAAGTTCTTTGATGTCTGTGAAGAGTATGCTTTTCTTGAAATGGTGACAGATCAGTCATTTGAGCAAATACTTCATGTGGACCCCCCTTCCTTTTTCTCCCTTAAAGCTACAGAATTCTGGTGTTAGAATTACTTCATGGGTTTTTGCTTTTTAGTTTCCTTTTAAAATGAGGTCTTTTGAGGAAAAAAGTCTTTTGGACGTGACCTTTTTTGTGTTGTTGCTAGGAGCCTTTGGGTCTGTTAGATGTGTAAGCGACCTGGTACACAACGGAACGGAACACTGCCCGGCCCTGTGCCTTCCTCACAGTTGTTACTGGGCTTCAACCCATTGCTGCCACCACTGTGTCACTGCACTCCTCTTTCCTGACCCTCCAGTTACCCAGACATGATGTCCTTCTCCAGGTGCTGGTCCCTCCTGATAACATGACTGCTTTTCATTAAAAAATTCCAAACAAAACAGCTAAAGAAAACCCCAAAACAATGAGACATAATTTGCATATTTCTATAATGTAAGAATATTCCCCCACCCCCCATCCCCGCTTCCTAAGAAGTCTTCTGTGACTCTTTCTGGCCCACCTGCCCACATGCTTGGAGTTTCCCTGGCCGTGTGTGTGGTAGATGCTAGAGCAGTACATACCACTGCCCCTCTGACTGATAACCCGGCATGATGCTGTCGAGGTCCTTCCACATTAGGGGGCACCCAGTCAGTCCTACCCTGTTCCTGCTGAGCAGCATTCCATCCTGGAGACCAGCAGTCTATACTCCAGCTCCTGTTGATAGACACGCGTGGTGAGCTACTAAGAATAAATTTAGGAACCTTCTTCTTGTTGTGAAGTGCTGCGTTGGGTCCATTCACAGTGACCCTTTATAGGGCTTCCCAGGAGCAGCTGGTGGGTTTGAACAGTCAATCTTGTGGTTCACAGTCTGATGCTGATCCTAGAGCGCACCACCCCAGGAGTCCCAGGGTGGTTTTTATGGACGTATGCTTCCACCTGTCTGGGATGTCCACCTAGGAGGTAGGCTGGCCAGTGAGAGGACAGGTCAGGCCGGTTACAATGAGGAGGATGAGTGCTGACTACTGACCCCCTTCCTGGCAGCTGCTATTTACCTCTGCTCTGCGACTTGTGATCCTGAGCACTGCCATCATGCTTGTTGGCCACTCAGGTACCTTCCTGTGTGACGTACCTTGTCTTTTGTCCCCTGCTACTCCTGCATCACCTCCGTGTCCCCTTTAAGCAAATGAAATAGCCAGGTTGTTTTGTTCATTGTTGTTGGTGTTAAGTGCCATTGAGTTGGTTCTGACTCAGAGCGACCCTGTGCACAACAGAACGAAACACTGCCTGGCCCTGCGCCATCTTCACAGTTGTTACGCTTGAGCCCATTGCTGCTACCACTGTGCCAATCCATCTCATTGGAGCTCTTCCTGTTTTTACTGACTCTCCACCTTACCAAACATGATGCCCTCTCCAGGTCCTAAAGAATGGGAATGGGTTCACTGTTCAAACACTAAGCTTCCCCCTCCCCAACACGAATCTTAAGAAGGAGCCCTGGTATGGCGCTGTGGGTTAGTGCGCCAGGCTGCAAAGCCATTTGAACTGAAAGGTCGGCAGTTCAAGCTTACCAGCTGCTCCTTGGAAACCCTGTACAGGGTTGCTATGGGTCGGAATTGACTCGAAGGCACTTAACAACAACAACAACAATCTTAAGAAAGCGTAAGTGGTTTATTAGCCCCAAAGTCGGCTTTGGTGTTGTTGTTAAGTGCTGAAGAGTCGGTGTTAGGAATGAAAAGAAGGCACTAGATGCTGGCTCTGTGAGTCAGCAAAGCTGGCCGCCCAGGTAAGTACCTGGAGGTACCCCACTCTGAAAGCAAGCCTCCCTCCCTACTCAGCTTTTCTTGTTTGTGGACTGGGAAGCCCGTTGTTCTGGCTGGAGCTCTGGCTCTTGGTTCTCCTGCTGCTGCTTCTCCACCCGTCCTTTGTTGTCACAATTCCCTGTCCCTGGTCCAGGAGAGTCAGTGCCCAGGGACCTGGGGTCCAAAACACCCACTGCACTCCTGGCTCTGTCTTCGTTATTGGATGATTGTGAGACAGCTCATCTTAGATCCATGTTAGAGTTCAATCACAATGAACTCTGTTAACCACTCACTCCAGAATTGTATCATCCTGTTAGCATCTCCCACCTTCTCTTACCCAGACTCAGCAAAACAAAAGCATTGTTTGGTGGGAGTTCTAGACTATTCAGGAAGACATTAAATAATTCACTACACTACAGGGTTTAATGTGTGTTTCCTGTCCAGCTTAGTAAGGTGGATGCTCAGATCAGAGGTTAGCAATTTATTTTCTGTAAAGAGCCAGATGGTAAATATTTGAGGTATAGTGGACCAGACTGCTCACCTCTGCCTTGTAGTATGAAAACAGCTGTAGAGAACAAGTAAACAACTGCTTTGTTCAAATAAAACAATGTCCCAAAACAAGTTGTTGGCCAAATTTTTTGGCTTGCTGCTGATCCCTGACTTAGATTATTAATTTAATTTTTTCTTTTAAATAAGCATTTAGAAATACAGTTTTCCTTCTATAAATTTTATTCTTATGTTTTCATTATCATTCATTTAAAATGTTTTCTAATATCCCTTTCAATTTCTTCTTTAACTCATGGGTCACTTAGAAGTGTGTTGATTTTTCAAGCATTTGGGACATTTTCAGATGCCTTTAATTATTGATTTCTCATTTAATCCTCTTGTGGTCACTGTTCATACTTAACGATTTTTTTAAAAATTGTGACTTGTCTTCAGGGCCAGCGCGTAGTTAGTCTTATTTAAATTTTCAGGTGCTTTTGAGAGAATGTGAATTCTTCAATATGTGGGTGTATTGTTCTATAAATCTCAATCAGATTGAATTGTTGGTATTCGTCAAGTCTTTGAAATAATGTTTTCCAGGCTTTAAAAAAAAAAAGTGTATGTGAGAAGAGTGTTGAAATCTCTAACTATTGGGGTTAGTTTGCCTGTTCCTCTGAGTTTTGATGGGTTTTGTTTTATGTGTTTGAAGCTGTATTATCAGATGCATATACATTTAGGAGTCCTTTGTGTTCTTCATTAATTGACCCTTTTAACATGAAATGCCTCTTTTGATTCCTAATAATTCTTTATCTGAAGCCTATTTTTATACTAATAAAACCACTAAAGCTTTTTTAAGATTGATATTTGAACCGTGAAACTATTTCCATTCTCTTCCTTTTAACCTATTTATGCCTTGATGTTTAATATGCATTTCTAGTACACTATATAGGGTTGGATGTTT